GTGTTAAATGGCCCTGAATAAGGTATTATCAACCCCCAAGTTCTGGATGGTAGAACGTGGAGCTACAGGACGCGTGGCACCTTCGCCAAGACTCATGGAGCTGGGCTTGAAATCTCTTGTCGCACTCGACAGCAGTGGATTCGGCATCAGAGAGTCATAAGCCGGATGTCTATGTCTCAAAATTCGGACCCCCCAAATGGATGGTTTATATTATATGTTTTATATTATATGATGATTTTCAATCATTTGCTCTGTTGAAAATGACTTTTGTTGGTGCCCCAATATGGGAATGATATGCCGATATGCCCAAATCTGTTTCACAGCACGGATTTCATCATACCTGCGATGCCATACATGCATTTGTGAGCCAAACTGCTCCAGACGTGCAAGCGAAATATATTTCAGAAATTCTTTCACATACCCTCCCCTAAAATTTCAGTGGCCGAGGGGGTCACTATGTTGTAGCTGTAATGTGGTGTACTGCAGTTAGCGTAGTGTAGTGTGATGTAGTTGTAGTGGTAGTTGTAGAGTTGTAGTGTAGTGGCAGTTGTAGTTGTAGTTGTAGTTGTCTATCTATCTATTTACCTGCAAGCGTGAAAACGAAGCTATTGATTAGGATAGATTCGACCTCAAAATGATTGGCCAATGTCTGGTACAGTGGTACAGCACACTCTTCTGCCTCTGGTGCGGCGTAAAGTAAGGTTCCGGTGATGCTGTGCGCTTGGAAAGCAGTGTTTCCTTCCATGCGTTCCTATGCTTTCAATTGCTGACAAAATAACGCTTCTGAGCTTGGCACCTACTAAATCCCTGTGGCCACACAATAAATCCCGCGTTAACATATTTAACAAAGACTCGGGAAATATTGTTTGTTTGCATCTGTTCCTATGTGTTCAATTACGTAGTGAACGTAAGCATTGCATTTACAGAATTTACTAAATCCCCATGGCCACGGCATATTCAATTTGACTGTGGCAGAGGAAAATAGGTTAAGAACCGATGATAGAATCACCTACTCGAGTTTGCCGCAAATAAAATATCATGCTGCGGACCCCCATCGAAGAGAAAGGAAAGGATCAAACGTTAATGAAAGACATCTTCATTTTCCCACGGCTACATGTTTGCAATACATTGCAATACCAATTGATGCATTGATACCATCTCCTGCCATTCCTTGCGCCCCTAGGTCCTACCTACCTGCCTACATCTGCCTACCAAACTTCCCTACTGAATTCATTCAGTAAATGAACCACCTTCCTCACACACCGGGGCTTGAATCCGGGACCCGAACCCGGGATGGGAACCCGAATCCGGGACCCGAATGCGGGGCCCGAATCCGAAACCCGGATCCGGGGCCCGAATCCGGGGCTCGAATCCGGGGCCCGAATGTGGCGCCCGAATCCGGAACCGAAATCAAAATTATAAAAGAATATCAAAGAATATAAAAATTGAACTTGAAGTTATCTCGAGATTCAGTCTAGTAGTCACTGTTCCTAATACATTTCCAATCCCCTATACAAAGACTACTGAATTATGGTTTCTGCATGGTGTTTCTTTGTAAAAAAACACTCGTGGATTTACTCTCCATTCGCCATTTTAGTGAGGAAGTTGCTTTCCAAACCATGGAATGACCATGGGATGTTCTAGTTTTCCCGTGGTTTACCCAGACTTTCACAAAACTCACAGAGGTTTCCAACCACTGCAATGCACCAGCCGCGGGGCTGCCCTTCTGGTGCTGCTGCGGCCTGGCTATGCTCCAGAATCTCAGGCCCCTCCTCCTGCGGCTCGGCCGTGATAAGAATCTACCGCGGAAATGTACACAGCTTGAAACCTGGAAAGCAGCACAAACCATGCGTGTTTTGGATTTCACCTGCCCCAAATGGCCCTGAGAAACTTCAAAAAGGGGCTCCAAACTGGATGCCCAAAGATTCGCCCTAATTTCTGCGCTTGTCCCTGACACAGTCCAACCAGTGCGGGTGGGAGGCTTGACACCAGGAGGGCGTCGAATGACATATTTGTACTCCAGTCTCTTTGAACTCGAGGATGCCTGCGACTTGGCGGAGTGTGAGCTGCGGCATTCCGCTGGCAAAAGCTGAATTGATGTGTACATGATACGACACAAAAAGGAACAACAGCTTTGAGACGGTCTATGCATACTTTGTCTTTCAATATATTTCCGATTCCTTCAGTATGTTTTTATAACCCCATGACATGAGAAAATCCCAACATATCCCAACCATCAGCCTCCTCTGGAGGGCCCACATCGGAGATGTCAATTCTCTTCCACAGGGGCTAATTCAACGGCTTCGGCACTACTGCCTGACGCGCCAGGGATGAAATGACTTGGGGAAAACGCCCCAATGTTTGGCCACTCAACCCATAGGGAAACTGATGCTCAACCCATCAAAGTTGGGGACGTTCCCTTCAATTTTCAGACAGCCCCAGTTGTTCCAACGAAATTTGCCAAAAGGCTTCCAACTGATGGAGATGTTTGGACAATTTTGGAGTGGAGCTTTCGGCAAGACCCAGGGAATTTGTGTGTTTTTTGATGAAACAACGGACATGGATGAACTGAAGCACCACGACAGCTGGCAGAGCCATAGATGAGTCATTCAATCCCAGAGGCTACCAAGGGGCCAACTAGCCATGAAAAAGTGAGCTCAAGTGGACGCCGGTGAATGCCAAAGGTGATGCAAAATCCGTCATTGGTTAACCCCTTCTGGATGGATCAAAACCAAAACATATATGGGAGGTTTCCTAAGTCATGGGTACCCCCATAGCTGGATGGTTTATGTCATGGGAAATCCATCTATAAATGGGATGATTTGGGGGTACTGTATTTTAGGAAACCTCCATATGGAAATGGGCTGGGTTTGGCAATAGAGATTTAATGACTCACTAAATCCCTAGAATCCCATATCAAATCCCCTTAACAATCCAGATAAAGCCTTTATAAATAAAATAAATATCATATCAAATCCAGACATTTCGCAGATGTGTCATGCAACTTAAATACCCCCTATGTTGCCACTGCTCTTGGGTGATGCATTTCATTTTGTGTATCAGCAAGATGGTGATAAGGAGTTTTATTCATTTTTCCATCCATCTTTTCATCCATTTCATCCAATGGCATCCAATCCTGCGCATGTGCAGGGGATGATCTCGCCTCAGGAAGGCCGTGGCGGTGCGAGGTGGAGCTGCAACAGGGCAGGGGGAGGCTTCAGCTACAGCACTGACGCGGCCGGCTCATGATCCAAAATGGCTTTGGGCAGCCCGCTAAATCTGATTGAAATCTCTGATCAATGGAAAAAAATGAAACACAATAAATGAAATTTCAAGGGATGCCCCCCCTCTGGACAAAAACCTGAAGTTCTCATGTCTTATTTCTTATCACTAATATACGTTGTTGAATGTTTTGGTGAAAATTGAGCAAAGCCACTTCAGCCGAAAAAATTCACCTCAGGCGAGATTTCTGGAATCAGTCTGATTAGTAGACTGAATCACTCCAGACCAAATTTCTGGTCTGCGGGGGATCCGGGTATACATATATTATCATATATTATCATATATTATCATATATTATCATATACTATCATATATTATCATATATTATCATATAATATCATATTTATATATGTATATTCGGATGATATACGCATACATAACACGATATCCATAAATTTTAGCCTCTTGTCTTTGGAGGGGGTGATTTTGATATATTTTGATTGTATATGTATAGGTGGGGGGGTATCCACAAATGAAATATTTCATTTAGACCCCCCCTCCCCCTCAACAGGGTGATGATGTGTTGGTGTTGGTGTTGGTGTTGGTGTTGGTGTTGTTGTGCAGCAACGGGAGTTCCAGAAGGGCGTGCGAAAGCAATGGAGAAGTACCATTCGGCACCTGCTGCGTTCACCGCCGGCGCGGCAAGCTGCAAAGAAATACTGCCCGCAAGGGAGGCCGCAGACAGCACGGGCTGGCATGGAACGGCGCCGGGAAGCCGGGTGTTGGGGGGCCGCCTTAAAACCTGGTGGATGCTTGCGTAACAGCATAAACAGTGCAAACCGTATTCCAAAGCATCCTGTGTGTGAAAATGGTGTGTTGTGTTTGATGTGTCGTAAGCGCGCGTACGCAAATTCAGCCGTAGGCGACAAACTGCATCTTGCACGATTGTTGGAATGGGCCACTCCGTTCACAAGAGCTACTCCTTTGAATGAACTTATATCTGTTGTGTTTGTAAACTGTGGGGACGAGATAAGCCAGTTTGTCGGTAAGGCAGCAGGTGCGATGAAACAGTATGTGCATCTTGAGCTAGACATGAAACCCGTGCTTTCCAGTCAATGCACTTGTAGCCGTAGCAATAGACACAGAGGCTGTGAGGCGGGATTTGTAGCAGAATGTGAAGTGAACAATTGCCTTGCCCAGGTGTCAAGGGGAACACACGATCCTTTCTGGAGGGGTGGGGTTGCTGTAAGAAGGGGTAGCGTAGAGCTTGACACAAACCCAATTAGCAGTGATATTTGTACATGCGACCTGTTGCTCGAAGTGAAGCAATTTGCATAGGACTTTCCAAACAAAGTTCCGCACAATGCCACGGGTGCAGGATCGGCCATGAAAATAAACACATGTAATTTCTGCAATGCATGTTATATACGTATACATATGATAAATACTTACTTACTTTACTTTACTTTACTTTGCTTTGCTTTGCTTTACTTTACTTTACTTTACTTACTTGCTTACTTACCTACCTACCTACCTACTTACTTTCTTACTTACTTACTTATTTACTTACTTACTTGCTTGCTTACTTACTTACTTACTTACTTACTTAGACTTACACACACATAATATATACATGTACATATATATAATATATATATATAATATATATGTAACATTATTATATGATTATATATATATACACATATAATGTATACAAATAATACATATATATATTAAATATAAAATGCACATATGATATGCGCATGTTTTTTTTCGAGGTTGGGCAACAGCAATAGCCTTGGTTTTCGTCCTCTGCGAAGTCGACATTCTCCCTTCGACGTCCAACATTGAGGTGCAGGTGGTGAACTTTCGAGGCCTTTGTCCGTTGTCACCCTGGGTGTTGATCGCAGGCATTCTGGCGTTCTTTCTGGGTCTGATCCTATCACCCTACATTCCAAACCTCTTGGGCAAGGAGATTTGTTTCCTGGATGTGGTGAGTATCAATCAATCAGATCACGACTTGATGGAGCGAGGCATCTATGGTCTTGGAGGTTTCCTGTCAATGTCAAAGCAATTACGCGTACTCTGGAGTCCTGACTACCTACAGAGGCTTTGGTGCGTGTATCTTGTCGAAATTTGCATCCCAGGAGCCAATGTCATGGAGACTGTAGACATCTGTAGATATCGGCGTTTAATTCCATCTGGGCAGCAGTCACGAAGCGAAACGTCTTGCTTCACGTCTCTTCACATCTTCTGTTCCATTGTTGATATTCCAAAATCCTTTTCCGCCAAGGTTTGAACTGGCAGCGTATCGGAAGGCAAATCCTGCTGGGAAGATCGTTTTGGCTCCCCTTTACATCGAGGCAATTGTCAGCTCTACCATGTTGGGTTCCTACGCAGTTGTGGTCATGTTCTGGCTAACTCAAGCGATGAGTGTGAGACTTTCCTTCACCTATGCAGGTTACATTCTGTCGTTGATTCCTGCATACATTGCCTTCCATTTTCTGCGACTCTGCACGAGACAAAAGATGCAACTCGTTGCAGAGCTCAAGTCGTTCGATGTGGAGCTGGCAGAATGCCGCAGTCCATACGATCGTGAGTTTGTCTTTGAGGGCATCACAACGTGGTACGGCAGTAAAACTGCCTTCAACGATTATGTCAGAGGGCCACTTTTTCTCGAACTCATAGAACCTTTATCCAGGAATCAAGTGCCTGCAATGTATTGGTGTTTGTTGGTGACGCCGACCCTCACCTCTGGCTTCGAATTTTTCATGGCCATTTGGAAAGGAGGTGGTACCCGAGAGGCACTACTTTCACATTTCATCGGTGTTGTGATCGGTGCCCAGCTCTGTTGGTTTCTGGTTTCCCTGAAGCTGGGCTTTGCCTTGTGCTACCGCTTTGCAAGTCGAAGCCGGCTGGACTTAGTGAAGACGCTCTTGATTTTTCTGGTGACGCTCGGTCAAAGGGTCAAAACATGTTCGGTGCAACCCTGACGTTGCTCCGCGCCAGAATTGCGGAAGGGTTGCGTATTTTTGAAATGCCATGTCGGTGGACTTTCAATATGTAGATGTATATGTGATCCATGATCCATGATCCATGATCCATGATCCGTGATGATGATGATGATGATGATGATGATTGTAAGTGTGGAGCAACGTCCGGGTTGGACGGAACATGTCAAAACGAAGCCGTCAAAACATTTTGTAGGGAAACGGCCATTTCATGCCGTTTCAACCTCTTGATGTGTGAGATCTATTTTGCGAATGGGCAGTTTGGCAGATTTGACATTTTCCACCCTGCACATATCAAACATTTTTTTTCAGAGTTTCTGTCAGTTTCTCCTGTAGATTGTTTGACTATATCTGATTATCTGACTAAGTCTTGGGATGTTAAAACGGTACCAAGTGGCTCAGCCAAGTGGCTCAGCCAAGTGGCTCAGCCGGCTCCAAGGTTCGTTTCTTGTGTTGTCTTTGGTACTGCCTTGGCCACCATTGCGTACACCTCCAGCCTCAATGCTGCCATAGCTTTCACATCCGGAGCCATGCTGATCGCAGTCTTCTCGTTTGAGTGGAGACGCATTTGGCGACTAAGATATGGGTGACAGCGACATGTCGACACGATATGGACATATTTGGACATATTTGGACGAAACTTGGCGACCTTGGCGGGCAACTTTTCCATCTTTTCCGGTGAGGGGAGAGAATCTCGGGTCGCAGAGCCGAGATCGAAAGGGACCGCAAGGGTCCGAAAGGGTCCGCCTTGGCCATGGCCTTTGGCTTGGAGATTGGCCACCATAGCGAAGGGAACGAGCAGGACTGTAGAGCAGGACTGTATATTCTTGTAGCATCTTGTAGCCATAGTCTCAGTGAAATGGAATGGCCCGGCAAAATGAGTTTCCACCATGAAGCTCTATCGAAGCAGAGCGCAATGCGGAGCACCTCTGCAAAGAGTCTCAGAGGTTTCAACCTGTTTCAACTGCGCAGGACGGAAAAGAAGTATGCAGAACTGCAGAGGTATCTTCCAAGTTTTAGAGAGATTCCAGAGCGGCTGCAGTAAGTTTATGACATATTTCGCAATATTTTGCAATTGTTCCTTTCATATTTTGAAAATGATACTGTATTGTATATATATACATAGACATAGTCGTATATATATAATAGTATATACAGAATATACTGGTAGTATATACAGATAACATATATATATATACAGACACATAATATAACACATAAATGTGTATTATATATATATATACATACATGTTATATAATGTGATATTGCTATGATTTGCTTTCAAAGTGCCATCGGCTGATCATCAGGCGCAGAAGGAGCTCCACATGTTCATGTGCAGCGGCTGTGGGTACACCCTTTTCCCAGCAAGGCACGACATGGACACTTCACCGCAGAAAATGCTGTGGAAAAGGTGGAAAACAAGGTGGACAACATCAAGAAAAGGTTAACTTTTTTGTTGTGCAAAAGTGGATGATCCGATGTTTTCTCCAAAGTTTTCGGAACCAGAGACAAACCTTTTTGGACGTGTCCGTTTTGTGTTTTTCTTGTTTGGTCAGGGGGCGCGAGGGCGCCTTTTTTAACGAGAAGTTCAAATGCCCCATGTGTGGTGCAAGCAAAGTTTCTTGGCTCATTTGTTTGTGCACGTGGATTGTGCGCAACAAAATCACCGTGGCTGTCTTCCAAACAAGGGTCTTTGGCAGGGGGAATGATGAACGATCAAATGGTATCCTTCCGAGATAGACATGCCTGCGGCGAACAGCAGTAACGTACAGTCAACTAAGTCAACCAGAGACCAGGTATATGTGGTTGAAACAATCATGAACCATCCCCAAGTTTACCATGGGTGGTACTCGTATAAACCATCAACCATGCGGTGGTTTCTTATTGTTTTAACCACATAGCACATTACCACATCAAACATATGTGATTATTGTTAATACCATTATTTTTGATTATTGTTTTAATAAACTATTGTGGTTAACTGTTATTTTCAACCAACCAATTAATGTTTAACATTATTGACGTGTTTAATAATCATTGTTAATAATCATTATGTCAAAATAGCTATTAAACATGGCCATTTATAGTGGATTTCATGAAAAATGGTGATTTTCCATTGCATTACCACCAACCAAACACCAACCATTGTGGTTAACCACGTGATATTGTTTTCGGTGCCGAGGATGAGTTCGTCGACATGAATGACGACGATGACGATGGAAGCCAAGCCGAAGCTGCCGCAGCAGCGCGCAAGGCAAGTTGAGAGTTCTGTAAACAGATGTAACCAGTAGAAATAGATGTACATACATATATATGATATACATAGATGTAAATATATATGATTATATATTATGTATATATATATATATATATGTAGATGTATATAATCATGTCATGTCATGTCACATAGATGTCGTTCTGAGTCGTCCTGTGGATTCACGACATCTTCGCTCAGGGTGAGGCCACCTCCTGAGATGAGGTTCTCACAACAGCAAGTGCTGGGTAGAGACAAGAGGGTAGCGAGACACGAGGGAAAAGACGGGACAAAGTTGGCGCAACGCGGGAACATCTTGCAGGAATTTTCACACGACTTTGACATCATATATGTACAATATTCTATATTTCATTATTCACGTTCATATATATATATATATCAGTTCTACCCGCCTTCGGGAGAGGTTGCCTCGACATTGCACGACATGACATGGTGTTTTGATGGCTCCAGCGGGCACGTAGGTTGTCTGCCCTTCGCTTGGGCCACGTGAGTTACTACGTGGGCCACGTGCTAGCGCCGTTTATCCGCTAGCGCCATGGCGGATGATCTTGACTTCGATGCAGTGGAGCAGCTTTTGGATAATGCGGACCCTTTGCGAATGTGGAAACGGGGATGATGGGGATGGGGATCACAGATGTTAGTCTAGTTTTATTTTTTTAAGTATTTACTAGTCTTCACCATCCATTTTAGGGCTACTGGCTACTGTACTCAATTTTGACCCATATGGCAACGAAATCGAAGTCCCACGTTTCAGTGAAGTTCAGTGGATGAAAAGACAGGGCGAATTTCAACGAACTTCATTGAGCTCATATTGAGCTCTAGTGCACAGGAAACAATTGTACATTTCCCACGGTCAGGGTGGTTATGTAGTTTAGCAATGTTTAGGAATGTTTTAATTCAGGAAATTCCAGTTCTTCGAATTTCTGAGACGTAGACGGCAGACCACGTAGACGGCGTGCATCAGCTCCAAGGAGCGTGCGGCCAATGCGGACTTTGAGGACGAGCGGCGCAAGAAACGACGTTCCAGGCTGGAGCATTCGCATTTGTCGCATCGGTCGACGTCGAATTTCTATCTCATGAATCATCCAATTTCGAATCTTTCCAACATCCTTCAACAATCTGTCCAGTTTAAGTATGTTTAACTCAGCTTTTGGATCGGTCAAACGTCTTGAGTTCTTTTCAGGTCACAATTCATTCTTTCTCTGTTTTGCATGCTGGCAGGTTGGAGTTTCTGCCGTTTGTTTATTTCAGATTATTTTATACTGTGTTGTCAGTAGAATTCACTTCTCAGTTCTTGTTTCCCGCCTTCTTTTTCTGTATTGAGCTCACACGTTGAATTATCATGAATTATCATTATTTTGTTTACGATAGTGATATTTTTTCATGATAATTAATGATAATTAATGACAATCCATAATCATTTCAATGATTTCTGTGGCTCTTTGCATCGTTTTGAGGACTCGCTCCCGCTCCGCACGGCGGGGCCGTTCGCGCAGTCGCAGCCGAGAAGCACGGCGTCTGGAGAAGGAACGCGAAATGGAGGAGCGTTTAACACAAAACGAAACGACGGTTCGACCAGAGAAGCGAAACCAGAACGGAAAAACGGAGAAATATGATGTTTATAAATTGTATGTGTGTGTATATATATACATACACATAGGATTTCCATATATAACCAACAATTTCGTTGCTTTTTCATGTTTTTTCAAATGTCGTTGAAATGGTTATCATTTGAAGAACATCTTCAAACATCTTCAAACATCTTCAACTCGATGCGAAATGTCGTGCAACCCATCTTTGATGTGCGCACAGCATTCTTCAGTCAACTTCTCATTTGTAGCAAGTGTAGTCTACCAGACATGTAGAATGAGTCAGATGTTGCATAATTGTGCGTTAAAAGTTGGTTTTGTCTGCATAGGAGAAACGCCGACAAGAGGAGGAAGAGGCTCTCTGCTTGGAACACCTACATTCTTTTGATTTCTTTTGCGAAGCTGCAAATCACGGCAGTTCCAGTGATTTTCCAGCCGTGCATTGTTTCAGATATCTTCAGGAACGTCGCCGACAGATTGAAGATGCCACGCGAGGAGATCGTACAGCCACTGGGATTGAATCGTCGCCACGAAATGTCGACTCGCAGTCAACTGCAGTTTGCATCAGTTTGCCGCAGTTTGCCCTTTGTTCAACTTCGATATTGGCATTTTTGGACATTTCTGGACGTATCAACAATCGAAAAACATTCTGCGTAGCAAAGTGAATCCCCAGCGTCGATGCAACCGAAGGTGATGATTGTGTGCTTGCACCACAAGGCATCGACGCGGCTTTCCTATGCTTTTGGGGGCATCCAGATGCAGATATGCCAAGCATCAAGTATGAAATTCTATGAAATTCTTTATTTTGGGAGCACATTAAGATACATTGAGCATATTATTCAATGGCATATTCTGGTCGATTTGTGTAGCTTTAGCGCTTGGCTCTTGGCTCTTGAGACTCTTGAGGCTGACGAGCGTGATGTCTACGAGTTTTTCTCGAAAAATGCGGGCAAGGCCAAGCCAGACATTGCTTGCAAAAGGCAGATAGAATAATCCACTAGGATTTTCCAATATAAACCATCCATTTTGGGGTACCGCCATTTATCATGCAAGCCCTCAACTATATTAACATACGTATATTACTGTAACACGTTGTTCATTCATATCTATTTCATTCGCTGACTCTTTGTGCGTTTGCCTGCGGATTCCAGATGACATGATTTACTGGATCTGGCAGGTTCGTGATGTCCAGATCATTCGTGATGCTCGTACAGGCTGGTAGAGTGAGACCACTGTCTCCACTGAGATTTTAGATGTTTGCTCCGCAGAAATGAGTAAATTTCTGTGGCAAATGCTGCCACACCTGCTGGATAGCTAGCGGTGTGTGGCGAGTGTTTTTGGTGGCAGACACCAAGACCTACGAAGCTCAGAGACCTGAAGATGTATCCTTGATATTCCTTGACGTTGGAAGAGTTGCAAGCTGTTTCTGTACACCAACCCAGTTCTTCCTTGTTCTTCTCATCAGATGCGGGACAAACTCAAGTATCTTCAACCAGACTAGACCCTCGCATCAAAACTACATCAGTTTCCGCTTTCCAAAGTTTCCTGGCACAGGTCGTTCCAAGGGCCTCGCCTATGTGGAGTTTTATTTGCAAGAAGCGACCCTGAAAGCCTTGGCCCTCAGTGGTCAGCCTATCAAGGGACAGGCGCGACAGCCGGCTATGCTACACACTCGTCGTTGGAGAAGTGATCGGAGGGTGGTTGTGACTTTGGGTGTCGTTTCTGTGAGTTGACAACTTGAATTTGAGATGGACTGGATAGAATGGGATAGATACCCTCTGGTAAACAAACATAGCTATTGAACATAGCCATTTATAGTGAATTTTCCCATTGAACATGGTGATTTTCCATAGCTATGTTAGTTTACCAGAGGGTATATCATCTTTTCTGTCAAAAGTGACCATTCCTGAAAAGATACGCACTTGAAATACTTGAACACTCCCTTCATTCGCACATTTCTCAGGATATCCAGGTTATCATCCAGTTGGACATATTCAGAATTTCTGTTAGTTCTGTACCCCTATTATTTTCAGTTTTTTTTTGTTTTAACCATACATTCACCATTTTATTTTAATTTTCTAATCATTAATGATGTCAATTAACATCACCATTGACAATATGTTCAGAAAGTTCATTCATGATCATGACTGATCACCATTTTGACCAATGATTGAACCATTTATTGTGATAATTAACTTAATTAACCACCCATTTTTTTGAACCGATCATTGTCAATTAAACCAGCTGCATCAAATCTATCCACATCAAATTAACCCAATGAACCACAATAAATGATGTTAATTGTGGTTAATTGTGGTTAATTCTTGATCCATGGCCAACCACAATTAACCACAATCAACCACAAACCAAAATGCAGATTTTTTCTCGCTATGAATCCTTAGTTTATAGGATCTCCCCAACCACAATGAACCACAATTCACCGATCATTATTGTCAATTAAACCACTTACATCAAATCTATCCACATCAAATTAACCATAGTTTATAGGATTCCCATGGATTCCCCAACCACAATTTTCCACAGCAAATCCACAGCAAATCCCCGGAGGCCGTGCGCGTGCAGCCCAGCCAAGCGGAGAAGAACCGCGCGGCGCAGGCCGCCAAGGCCTCCATCCACTACACCGCACCAAGGGAGACGCCGCTGCGTGGCGTGACCGGAACTCGTGGGGAAAATAAAATGGCCAATGACGGCGAAAATCCATGGGAAATGATGGGAAAAGAATGGGAAAATCATGGAAAAATTACGAAATCATGGGAAAATCATGGGAAAATGATGGGAAATCCAAACATGGATGGCATTTCCGAGCATGGAATCTGCAGAATCCATGGAAATTGGAATCCATGATGTCATAAAGTGACCATTTGAAAAATGGTGCTTCATGGGAAAGCTATGATGGTGAGCCAATGGATGTCCAGAGGCACCCGACACATCCATTTTTGTCAGAATCAGAACTCTGTACCCTCTGGTTATGTCAAAATAGCTATTGAAGCCATGGCCTAGTCGAAATAGTTGATTTACCCAGCTATAAAATGATGATTTTCCATAGTTTTTTGTATGTTTACCAGAGGGTATGTTTCGTCAGGAAGTCGTAAGACATTGCAAAATCAGTATGAAAATCAGTGAAATTCGTTTTGCCACAGATCCCTCTGAGTACATCTTTGAATCATTGCTGTGGCCAGTGGAGCTGTGCGCACAGCACTGGGCCAGATCCAGCTCCGCCTAAGGTCTGTATGTGGGTGGCCTTACTGACTCTTTGGCGAACATTTCTGAGGAAGAGCTGAAGAAGCTGTTCTCACCTTTTGGCAGCTGGGCAGTTGACCAGCTGAAAGCATCAAGTGAATACAGGCTCTGTTTCAGATGCTTTCAGATATTGAACGCATTTTTCGGAATGGCTTATACCACCTATGGACAAATTGGGAATGGTTTATGATTGTTTTACCAACATTATTCATGTGCAGATCAAGCAGTCAGCGGCTCTACATGTAGCCGAATGTTTCAGGGCCGACACTCAGGTGAGATTGAGTTCATCGACCTGCACCGAGATCCTTACACCAACAAATGCAAGGTGCGCCATCAACAAAATATGCAGTGAAACAATGCTGCAATTCTTTCTGAGATATCAATCAATCAATCCAGACATAGTTTCAGGGCCAGGGTTGAGCCACATTCAATGGGAGATCTCCAGGATCCAATTTATGGAGGTACGTAAACGTACCATATAAATCAGGCCATATTTTGGGGGTATATCCCCTGACCCACATGCTTCGTTCAGATCTGCTTGGAATGTCTTCGTTCCGCTGCACGGTTCGCAGGGTTTTGCCTTCGTTCAGTTCAAGAACGCCTCAGAAGCGCGAGAGGCGATGACAGCCATGAACGGCTTCCAACTGGCAGGCGGGGTGGGGGGTGGATCCCCATCCTGGATGATAAAAATTGTGGTTTTCATGGGAAATCCACCCAAAAAAATGGATGAAAAATGGATGATTTATGGGTTACCATTAGGAAACCTCCATATTTCTCATACAATGCCATCATATGCCACCGACCTGCCCGTGAATGCCAACCTGCTCGTGAACCAGAGCATTGACCCAGGAAAAGAGCTCAAGGTGGGTATTGTGCGGGAGCCAAGAACGTTGCTCTGGAACACTGAGGATGGAAGAAATCCACCACCAAAAGGATGGTTGAAAACCTATAAATAATGGGATATAAACCATCTATCAACTGAATCAACTGGTGCAGGATTTCTTCCATCCACTGTAGTATCATTTTATCTGCTCATTCTGCTCTTTTTGTAGACTGCACGAGCGAAATTCTCAGAACCGAGGTTGTTGCTTTGAAAAGATGCGGTGATAGGTCAATGCAAAAATCACACTGCAGCAACTCACTCTCTTCAAGCGTGAAGGAGTGCATGTCTCCTAGATTCATGTTCGTTGTCCTCCTTTCCCGCAGATGAACATTAAGACATCCTCTCTGTGTATGGCTTTATCATGGCTTAATTCTACATGTTTATGCTATTTCACAGCACCCTTTTGAGTCTTTGTGACGTTTTCAAGATATGTCATATCCATCATATATATCCATATATAATTCATATATCAAACAAACCATATTATAAGCCATATATAAACCATCATATAATATTCATATAAACCACACATAAACCACATTCTCATTCCATTCTGGTTGCTAAATAGGGATTCCCAGTTGGATGATGATCTCCAATATATGGGATAATATAACAACTTTAACAACCTAGTACAAAGACCATCATACAATATTCATATAAACCATCATAAACCATATACAAACCATATACAAACCATATACAAACCATATATTTCCGGATCTTCCAGATCTTCCAGATGGGATTTCACCTTAAGGCCACCAGCGACATGCAGCTGGGCGAGGGCGGCCAAGGAGCCAACTTGGCCATCGGGGAGAACCTCCACGAGGCGCAGCAACGCGGTGCGCAACGCCACGGGCACAGCGGTCCATTTTTCATGTGTGTTTTGATATGCTAAATATTTATAATATACATTATTTAAATATATGTATAACATATTATATATATATATATGTATATTTATATTTATTAATTCTTCTATTCATTTGTATATATATATATACATTATTGATACATTACAAAAGAAAAGAGGCTCCCAGTTCGAACTGTTACTGACACGGAGTTGGCCTTCGCCCTTTGGCGCGTTCGACGCTGAGGATGCCAGCACCATGGGACCAAATGCTCAGCTTCTTGGCACAACTTTCGGTCGCTGTGGAGCTGCTTCCAGTGGCATCGCGAAACAGCTTCGCGAGTTTTGACAGAATGTTGGTTTTTGATATGTTTTGATATAATGATATATGGATCTGGTAGATTGTTACAACATCTTACAACATTACTTTGGTTCCCCATTGGCCCCATTGGGTTGAAGTTTGGAGATGTTTGGAGAGTTTAGGTCCAAACTTTTGGATTTCAGGAAGCCATGGAATGCCATGGATTTGAGGCCGGGTATGTTGAAGGACGCCAACGACCGCTTGGCTTTGATGCAGAAGCTCCAGCGCGATCCTACTCAAGGCTCGAGACCTCCTATGTGGCCAGGGAAGGGGCCAAATTGGCATCTGAAGCATATCTGAAACATATGTAGATTTGAAATGATTTGAACTTAGTCCCTTACCAAGAGAAAATTTCGACACGTTGACGTTGAGGGTTCTCGAGGGTTCTCCATGAAACTTGGCGCTCCGAACCAGCTTCGACCAGCCTCTCAGGTTACGGCCCGGGCGTGCCATCGAACATCATCGTACCTTGTCGCAATGGCAGAGGCATACAGTGACAACATGTTTTCCAACACGTTGTTTTTTTTCCCGGTGGCAACAGAGGTGTCAATGAACAATGTTACATTATTGAACAGAGGTATACAGAGGTGTTCAATCTACTGGTGTCACTGTTGTGACTTTATGGTGCAGACAAGGTGTCACTTGTACGGTTGTCATTGATAGTTTTGCACGTTTTTCGAGGAGATGTTGTGAGCAATGCTGCACCCGAAGGACCAGATGCATACCAGATGCTTCATGCTCTATCTTGGCTCAATGGGTTCAATGAAAAGGCTCAACTGACCCAGGCCAGTACAAACACTTGACATTTCTAACACATTCTAGGACCAAGTTTTTCAATGTGACCTGTTTGAAATAACCAATAGGTGAGCCAAGGGGTGCGACTCTAGCTCGCTAGGTTCGCTTTCATTCGCATCGTTTTTGGTGATTTGTGCTGCGGCGTGGCTGCTTGAGCCATGGGCCGTGAACGAGCACGCGATGCATGCGGTGTTGTCATATCCTTCGTTGCTTTTCTGGTTCTCAGTCGCAACGAAACTGACTTCGCAACGTTTGCGACTTTTCGAACTTTTGACCATTGCTTGAGATCCCAAAGAGAGAACAGCCCACGGGGGCCACAGGGGCCACAACGGCAGAGGCCACGTCCACGTATTCCACGTACTGCGAGGCGAGCGAAGTCGATCCAAAGAGTCTCTGTCGCTTTTGATGACTTTGCGACATTTTTAAAGGAGAAACAGGGTGAGATCATCACTGAACTGGAGGAGATGGAGATGGAAGGAGGGGAAGGCGCTGCGAAGTTCTCCCGTGATCCTTGGGGCTGTTTTCTGACAGATGACGGCAGCGGAGGTCTTACTCGAGTCTTGCAAGGTGGCAAAGTGATTGAGAAAGGCGCTTGTAGCTTCACATGCATTCGAGGAGGTGTTCTCTCAGCTGAACGTGCCAAAACGATCAGTGCACGTCAAACTGATGTCTTGGTGCAGGCAGGTGATGCTTATGCTGCCGCCGCATTAAGCAGCTCGGTGTGCACAGTTTCCACTTTCACTTCTCATGACCCAGCGTTCCAAATTTGTGACCTAAGCTGTTCACGATATTAAATTAGCCGTCTGTTGGGATTTTCCAGAGGATTTTCCAGAGGATTTTCTGTGGATCAATCGGATCCTCTTTTTATATCGTTTTGTTAGGCATGGTCTTGCACAGCAAGAGCCCAATGATCCCGACCTTCCGCTCCGACGTGCGCATCTTCTCGGTCCAAAGTGCCAATGGCCAGGAGAAGGCTTGGTTTGGAGGTGGTGCTGATCTGACACCATACTATTTGGATGAGAAGGACATCAGATCTTTTCACCAGATGTATAGTAACTTATGTTCCAAACATCTTCAAAAACATCCAAGTTTTAGCTATGCATCGATGAAGCAAGCTTGCGATGACTATTTCTTTCTTCCCTGTCGGCAAGAACACCGTGGAACTGGTGGCATTTTCTTTGATGATTTGCCGGTGGATGAAGACAGCATGGAATTTGTCAAAGGAGTTGTGACGACTTGGATGCCTTCGTGGCTTCCAATTGCTGCCCTACACCGTGCAGATTCCTTTACAGATGACCAGAAACAGTGGCAACTTTTACGACGGGGACGTTACTTGGAATTTAATCTCTTATATGATCGTGGCGTCAAATTTGGACTGGCAAATGCCAACCCTCGAGTGGAGGGTGTTATGGTCTCAGCACCACCGATGATTGCGTTTGAATACAATCACAAAGTGGAGGAAAACAGTGCTGAAGCTGCACTTCTCAAGGTTTTGAAGGAGCCCAAAGACTGGGCTTGATCATCTTGATCGGCTTTACGCAAAAATCGCCTGCTGCGAATCGCCCTTGAGAGAAAAGCGCGGAGAATCGGATTGAACCAGAATCCGAATGGTCCAAATTGAGTTTGATTTGGAGATGTTACTGGTAACATCTGGTAACAGTTTGGTAAAAGTTTGGTATTTGGCAGATTTGGGCATATACGTGTCCCACCATGTCCCTCCACATGCAGCTTCGCTATGCTTCGCTATGCTTCGCTATGCTTCGCTGTCACTTTGAAATTCCAAGGTTTTGCACGGCATGTTCAACCCGTCGCAAGTGAATTTGGCGGCGGATCCAGAGTTCTTCAACGATATCCATGCAGATGTCGAACAGGAGCAGCACTGGGCATGATGCAACGGGTGAAAGTAACTGGAAAGTAACAGGAAAGCCAGGGAGACACATTGGGGTGACAGGGTGTCTCAGGGTGTCTCAGGGTGTCTCAGGGTGTCTCAGGGTGTCTCAGGGTGTCTCAGGGTGTAGAGGGTCGTGCTCAAGATCGTACAGAAGTGACCTTTTTGGGCTGTACGGAACACGTAGGACACCCTCCTTGAAAAGAAAACACCACACAGGGAAGGCTGAACTTTTCAATCCAAGTCAACTTGAACGGCCTAAGAAAAGCTGAGCTGCCTTAAGTCCGGAGGGATCTCTTGAGTTTCGTCAGGAGTGCCGAAAGTATGGCGCAGTGATCAAGGTCTTCGCAGATCAGGGCAGCAGCAAGGGAGATGCTCTGCACTCAGATCACTGGATCCAAATCGCCCTGATACGAAATGACGAAGCTCACATCAAGTCGAGTAAGAGTATAGTAAAAGTTTATTTTAATATTAATATTACTATAAATATCAATCTCACAACTAGAAATACCCAATCTTTACTAATTGGTATATAGTGGTATTAAATTATCTCAACATCTTTGTGTTTTTTTTGCTTTTGGATCCGGGCTCTCTAAACGTCCTTGCGCTAGGTTTGGGTGAAGTTTGCAGATGCGACCAGCGCATCCAATTGCCAGCGGGCTTTGGACAGGCTGGAGCCAGATGGGGAAATGATGAGTTTCATGATGAGTAAATTACCAGAGGGTATATCCATACCTATTATATAACTATTATCTGGAATTTCCATAGTTATGGAATAGTTATATATATATTATATACATATATATATATATATAATGAGTTTCATGATAGTATATCCACAAAAATTCCAGATATATAACTATATATAACTATTATCTGGAAAACACCCAGGTGGATCATTATAGTACATTGCCCTCTGGTTATGACTAACAGTTCGCCATGGAAAATCCCCAAAATAAATGGATGTTTTAATGGGAAAATCATCTATAAATGGGCAATGCCATGCTGAACAAATGCTGAACAGAATAACTTTCCCTCTGGTTATGACTAACAGTTCGCCATGGATAATGGCCCATAGAAATAGCTGCTTTTCCCAGCTAGAAACCTCCATTTGTTTTGGGGATTTTCCATGGCTATCTTAGTCATAACCAGATGGTACATGAAACATGATGAGAAATGATTAGAAATGATGAAACATGATGAGACATGTAACATTGTTTAACATGATCCCTTGGTGAACCATGATGATATGATGACATGATGACAGCCACAGCTGAACCGCAGGCGTTGGTTCGCAGGCCAGCAGATCATCGCAGAGTTCAGCACCGAAGCAGTGGGGACCCCTGCTATATCCCATTATATAATGGATATCACACCATATATATATATATACTATATTAAATATTAGATATATCATGATATATCCTCCTGATATATGTGAAGTATATCCCGATGTACTAACTTCGGTGATCCGTCCATGTCTCCGAGTCTCCAAGGCCTGGGCCGGCGTTGTACGCTGAGATCTCTGAGGCCTGGGCGGCCTGGATAACTATGGAAAAATCCAGCATTTTATGGGAAAATTCACCAAACAACTGGTGATAAATGGTGATTTTCCATAGTTAACAAATTACCAGAGGGTAACTTGCAAACCTCCAGGACTCTAGGACTCTGTTGATCCTTGTAATATGTGAAGCTTCTTGGAACAGCGTCCACTTAAGCCTTCCACAAGCACCCGAGAACTCAAGAGTTCCCATACCCTTCATGTTCACTCAATTTGCTAAGCCTTTGGCTGTCAATCTGTTTCATCTCGCTATCTCAGGCAGGAGTGCATGTATCTTGTCAGTGAGCTTGGCACTTTAGTAAATTTGGCGACCCATCAAGCCCCGCTCTTCCAAGCACCTCTGGAAGGTGTAGGAGGCCTCAAGCAAATTCTAAGAAGAGGACTATCACAATTTCAACTAGTTCCAATTCGGAAAAACATCAGACACCCTCTGGTTATTTAATAATATTTAATATAGCCATGGTATAGATGGTCCATTTATAGATGGTTTTACCTATGTTTACCTATTAAAAATGGGTGGATCTTTCCATAGTTTTCCATGGTAAAAGAAAGAACTTGTCATCAGTCGCCTCGTTGGTCGCCTTGTTGCTGGAGCCGTCGCCGCCGAGCTGCGCAGCGAGCCGAACGAAAAACCGAACGTTAACACCGAACGACACGCGTCGCAACTGGAAAAAGTCTCCGGAGAACATTCTGCTGATTATGGCTTTTTAATGGTTGTTTAATGGTTTATTATTGGTTTATTATGGCTTATTATTGGTTTATTATTGGTTTAAGAACATGTTGCTGGGGCACGGGGAAACTCTACAAGCAGGTTACTGCAGCATATCTCAACATCATATCGCAATGCATCTCAGAGCAAGTAGAAAGTCATTTTGAAACCAACATGCCTCGAGTTGTGGAGAAATGTTGGGGCTACCAACTTATCTCAGTTTCTCCCCTTGTATCTGGGGTATTGGGAGAAACTATGACTGTGGCAGTGTGCTAGGTCCTCTTCAATTCTTTCTTAGTTTTGGCAACATTTTTTTTCTTTTGGGCTCTTATGGGGCACACGCCTGGGTTGTATGCAATAGATTGCTTGAGGTTTTGATGAGAAACGTCGAGATGCGAACAGTATCAATAGCAGCAGATCTCACGCAATGACTCACTGTCACGATGACTACAACAATGTACGGCGTGTACGGTAAGTCAAGCGACCGAATGCACAATTGCTTTTCATCACCCAGAATTTTGCGAGATACAGTGGTATTTTGACGTTTTTGACTTGGGATTTGTTCTATTCTTGGCCAATGAAACAATGAAACTGCATCGCCTAGTTGCTTATTCGCAATGTGATGAGAGTTCGAACCACAGAAACCTCCTGGATTGCTCAAGGCCCTGCAGTTGACAAGTTGTGACAAAATCAGAATGAGAAATCCCCAAAAACGGATGGTTTATAAGGGAAAATCCATCTATATATAAATGGATGATTTGACACCATTTAGATTCTCGAGGTGCGTTTTGACGTGTGCCAAATCGGTGAGTATTTTTTTTTCCCGCTGTGCGCCATGGATCACATGGATTGGTATGCGAAGATTGTCATGTCCAACTTTAAGGCGCCGCATCCATCCTGAGAGACCTTCTGAGCGCAACATTGACAAACATAATAACAGATGCTTACAGTAACAATGACATTTTCATATAAACTGTAAGCATACGGTAACCGTATTTTATGTCATTTTATGTTGTGCTTTGTGCTGTGAACACTTTCAGCTTCGCTGACCAAATTGAGGACTTTCGCGAGCTTGTCTCTGAAATGATTGACGAGGCCGTGGATGAGCGTGGATGCAAAGATCCCCACTCAAAATCCTTACGATTTTGTGATCTTCATTTCCATCACTTTATGGCGAGCTGTTCTTTTAGCTGCAAGTTGGATTAAACGATGAGAACGAGACATGGAAATCCAGTGTTCAGGAATTTGAACGAATGTGTTGCCCCGCAAGGTCGCTGAAATCGTTGACGAAATCGTTGACAATTTGGACCCGTTGAAAAGCTGCCGTTGATGGCAGCTGGGGCTGGAAGTGGTTGGTTCATGTTCCAAGTGGTTACTTCAAGTTACTTCACCGAATTACTAGATGTCCCATGAAAAACAGCGAAAAGATCAATTCACAGATCCAAACAAAAAGAGTAGCAGGACCCTGAACAGGAGCCTGACCCAAGTGCTTCTCTGAAGACAATCATGATTTCAATGATGCATAGTGGTCAGCGGTAAACCATGGGCCATCTCTGGATGAGGTCGGTGAGGCTACTGGGCAGGTTTTCCCGCGCTGGGGCCAAAGAAGGCGGTCATATCGTTGGAAAAATGTGATATAACAAAAGTATGATTTTCTATGATTTTCCATGATTTTCCATGATGTTCTATGATTTTCTATGATTTTCTATGATTTTCTATGATTTTCTATGATTTTCTATGATTTTCTATGATACTATGAGATATGATATGCGATGTCTGAAATTCTAATGCCTCGACAATACAAGGTCATCTAGCGCCTGAGGCCGATGGTTCTCATCCCATTGGGTCAAGGGCTCCCAGGGCGTGCTTCGAATCCCTGGGAGCCTCGTTTCACAAGATCATGCCGATAAGGCGGGTCAAATGGGTGAAATCATGGTGAATCCCTTCAGAAAGCATCAGCTACAGATGGATACAGGTGCTTGTTACTGTAGATGTTGTTAGTTCATGTCATGATTCATGTCAGTTCTATCAGTTTCACTGTAATTACTGTCAGTTCATGTTAGTTCATAGAATCTATTGTAATTACTGTAGTTTCACTGTAGTTCATGGTGACTTCCAGCCTGCCACTGCTATCTCTGCACCTCTCCTTCGTTGCCAGCTCCTTGCCGAATTGGGCTTCGAGCAGCTCTGGCAGGTCGACGATGTTCTCAACGGGTTGGGGTATAGTTGAACTGGTTGGGGCTCTCAGAATACACAAAATATCGCTATGTAATTTTGATGACATAGACATAGAATGATATTTTTACATATATAGAATCATAGATTCTATATAGAATGTAGATGTGATATGATGTGATATGATGTGATATATGAATCCAATGAAGACATGCTACGCTTATCGTGTGCGACACGTTGCGCATCGCCTGTTGGACGCATTGGACGTTGGACGCATTTGGACGCCAGGATGCCTTGCATCTTTTCCGTGTCTTCAAAGATCAACGACTGCAGCCATCGTCGTCTACCTACGAGGTGCTGTGGATTGCTGTGGATCGAAGTGGATCAAAGTGAACACCGCCCCGTTGCAGTGGACACAAGCCGGTTACACAGGTGATCCAAATTCAAAATGCTGTAAGTCTTTCAACTTGATTCGGCATGTGCAGCACATGCCATGCAAGGATGCTTTCAGAACAGGTTTGCACCGTGCTATCCTTGAGAGGCGGTGGCAAGGGGTGTGCAAAGATCCTGGCCGTGCAGTTTGCAGGCGTTGGATCTACAACAGACAGAGGTGCCACGGTGCCACGGTGCCACGGTGCAGGTTTTAATCGGTATAACTGCAGTTTCACTCGGTTTCACTGGCCACTTTTTTGTGTCTTTGCTATTCTTTGCACACATCTGAAAAAAGCTGTAGCAGAAGCAGCTTTCGCCAGGCGGAGACACTTCCTGTGGGTCTTCCTCAAATTGCCAAATCTTTGAGGCGCGCGAGCAAAACGAACGATGAAAGACCTCAGACAGCTCGAGCGCTAGTCACAATTTCGAATTTTGCTGTGAGTTATAACATGCTATAACTTATAACATTGTTTGACACATATTCTCCTAGAAGCAGATGTTTCTCAGGGCAGCATGTTTGGACCATTTTGGATCAGCATCACTGGTAGCGGTCATGGGTCAGTCGTGAGTGTTTAACCTCGCTGCATCAAGGCTAGGCGGCCAATGGCCTTTCTCTCTTCAACTCTTGACACATGCCAAAGAGCATGTCCTGCGCAGCAGGCGCAGTGCGATGTGGAAATCATTTGCCACCAGATGTTTTTTCCAGGATTTTCTGCATCTGTCAACGACAATCAGCTGATTCTGGTGATTCTGGTACTGTTAGGAGTTGACTGTGGGGCCTGTCTGGAAGTTGGGATTCATGATTGAAAGTCAATCCTTGAGACAAGAGGATGTGACTTTGATTAACTTATAGCCATTTGTACAGTATGTCTTTTTGGTTTGCAACGGTGTTCAACGCAGGGATGAAACCGTAGTAGGTGCATTATGGGCAGCTTGGTTGCATGTCCGGAAGTGAAAGTGGCCAGTGAGAAACAGTTTATCAGAGATTTCTGGTTTTCATGGCTAAAGGGTGGCACAAATATTCTTGTACGCACAAATCGATCTTCGCAGTTAAGACATGCGCACAAGCCATGCACAAAGTCCGACAAAAAACAAGTCTTCAGTTTTGCTGAAAGAGGAGTAGACTGAGTAGACTTGGCAGAAATCTTTGATCCTGAGAGGATTGAGGATTATATGAGGATTTGTTTTCATGATTTTAATGCAGCAACAAAGCTCGATTTTGTGGTGAATTCCTGCGGCCTTTCCGACTCCGCAAGTCGTGCCAAGTCGTCACCACTTCACCAAGGCAACTTCCGAAGCTTGTTTCCAACATTTGGAAGAACAAGGCCAAAACTTCCCCCTGGGTCCAGCAGTCCACCGGCATCAAAATGTTGGGTAAATTGAATCTGAAGAAAATGACAGGTTGTTGGCTCATTGCCTTGAGACTTCTTGCTGATCTCAGCAGGAGCGGCTGGTGGGAGTGGAAACCTTGGCTAATTCGTCGATGTCCTTTATGTTGAGAATTTTGAATCGCCACCGTCATCACCCGACAGGGTGATGTTTTTTCAGTCTTTGTGCTATTCTCGTCGGGTGCTGAGGTCAGCATCGGGAATGAACAGAGAAAATCTTGTGACATCGACGATTGGAGCCTGCGCTGTGGAAGGCGCACACAGAGCTCTGAGCAAAGTTCCCCATGTGCGATGGATCTATCGCATGTCGCTGACTTAGCATGGTTTAGAACGCATCACAAGTACAATTCGGTAATCAAAATTATGCAAATATGCATATACACATCAATATATGCATATGATATGTGTAAATATGTAGACATAGACGTATATAATGATTTATATGTCAGTTTAGCGTTAAACATGCAACATTGTAACATCATGCAACATTTGTTGGGGTTTCCCAGTTTCATTGTGGCATTTGAAAGCCAGGGCAGTGGCAATTGGCCTTAAGCCTTGCTTGTGGACCTTTGGAGGTGGGGAGAACTTCGAACGCGGAGATCGGTTGTTTGAAGCGATCTTAACGGTTGATTATAGAATCAATCTGCTAGACAATGCGGCAAGTATTGCAGTATGAACG